CTATCTGTCCAAGTCCTGGGGGACAAGCCTGGACACGGCATGCCCAGACTCTCTCTCTTATAGACAAAGTTGGACAGGTAAAACACAAGGTAGAGTGTTCTGACTGTGTGACAGACATCAGCCTATCTCCCACCACACATAAACTGTGGCTGTGTACCTGGGGCCGGAAGGTCATGACATGTGACCCCAGCTCACTGACAGAAATGTTTACAACGGACAGTGTTCCATGGTGTCTGTGTGTGACAAACACTAATCACATTGTTGTTGGAATGAAACACAAGGTGACAATGTTCAACAGTCAAGGTCAAATAGTACATACAACGAGTACCAAAGAAACAGGAATTGTCCGACCGGAACGCATTTCCCAGTGTCCCATGACAGGAAACATCGCCTTGGTTGATACTGACAACAAAAGCAACAGTCTTATTTTGGACAAAAGACTCAAAGTTATACATAACCATATTGGTGGAGGTGCGACAGCCTCTTCTATTCGTCCAGTCGACCTCGTTTATGACAGCTGTGGAAATCTGGTTCTGGCTGATGCTGACAACAAGAGCTTGGAGCTTGTCACTGGAGAAGGAGATTATTTACAAACTATCCACGTACTGACCGGGCCGGTCAAGGCTCTGGGTGTTAACAATGAAAATGTTCTGTGGGTCGCAGTGTACAACAAGCAGAAGGACTGTTACCAAGTCCAAGTGCTACGGTACTATAACAATTCAAAGTGACCTGATTTGACTTAACCTGCGATCTTAAATTAAGTAATCCAGAACCCTGGGAATTTCTCTTTTGTCTTCCTAGGTTTGAGAGTTCATAATTGGTCCACATTTAAATTAAAATTATCTGACCTGTCTGCATATCTCACTAGAGTTTAAAACCAAAAATTTGCCAGCGAACTCTGCAAATTTTTTCTCAATAAGAGACAACAGGATGAGACTGAGCATAGACAAAATCTGGGACATCAGTGTTTTGCTCGAACTGTTTGTGGGTGTGAAGTGATTTGATGGAACTGTTTGTGTGAACTAATTTGATGTAATTTTATCAGATGACTGGGTAGAAGACACATATATATATCCTGGATACTAAATGCTATTATTTTGTGTATATGCTGTTCTTATACTAGTACATAGTATCAAGTGGTCTAATAGGCCTGCATCACTCACCTTATATTGACTGCTTTTCATATACACATGCCCACTTAATTTTACATCCCATGTCACTAACATTCAAAACTGATGTACATTGCATTAATTCCTATAATAAACTAATTAAGAAAACTTGTTTAAGATATAACAAATTATGGATTCTTTTCTTGAAAACCAATTAATATAATGCTTGGGTCAAGGTCATCTGAGGAACCTACAGTACTATATACTGCAGCTAGCTAACTATTATAACTCTATGCCAAATGGTTCTTAAGAAGAAGTTGTTTGCATATGTACACCTTAATATTACCTCTCCCCCATGAGAACACGTTTTAATAATTGACAGTTTTGTTGCTTTTAATTTGAACCAGTCATTATTTTTAATAACAACCATTTCTGAGAACAATTAACAGCTGCATGGGAAACATTTGATCTGTTATTTTGTTTTTACAGCTTGGAGGAAAAAATAATTTCCTCATTTATGTGTGACCTGGAAAAAGCTGCACTGATCTCTGTTCTATAAAGTTACCACATTGTAAACCCAAATTTGTCATAGTGCTTTGTGCTAGATTTAATACATATTAGTTAAGAGAACATGTCTTCTATCTTTGTTTTGCATGACCAACTTTGTACTGAATTCAGTGCTAAACTAATGCTACATGTACAAGTATTTTTATACTGTTTGTGAATAGACACTAATTTGATATATAATTTCTAAATGAATTAAACTGCCATAAAACAAAGTACGGTGTAGAATCCCATTTTCCGTGTACTGGTACATGTATCTACATTCATTCCCACATTTGGCAATGTTATTGGATGACCTCAAAAAATGATTGTTTTACATTTCCTGTAACATCTAACAAACAACAAAATACACAGAATTATTTTTTTTATTTGTTAAATATATATATAGGGTCACTGCAATTCCAATAGGACTCCGTCAAATCTCTGTCTAGCAATTAGACCTTATCATGACAAAGGGATAAAGTCTGAAGAGCCAGGGTGTTATTTGGTTGTAACACATGTGTGTGCATGCATGTTTCTTGTTAGCATCAGAAGATCTTTATATCCCCTCAAAGACCAAGAAGTTCCTTATATCTCCTCATAGACTGGAAAGATATTTATTTCTCCCATCATTCACAGGCTTGTCACCCATTTTACTTGTTCAAGATTTCTCTGTCAACCTCTAGGGTATGATTTCTCTGTCAACCCGTAGGGTATGATTTCTCTGTCAACCCCGAGAGTAAGATTTCTCTGTCAACCCCGAGGGTATGATTTCTCTGTCAACCCCGAGGGTATGATTTCTCCGTCAACCCCTAGGGTATGATTTCTCCGTCAACCCCTAGGGTATGATTTCTCTGTGAACCCCGAGGGTATGATTTCTCTGTCAACTCCTAGGGTATGATTTCTCTGTGAAACCCCGAGGGTATGATTTCTCTGTCAACCCCGTTGGTATGATTTCTCTGTCAACCCCAAGGGTATGATTTCTCTGTCAACCCCTTTCTCTGTCAACCCTTAGTATGATTTCTCTGTCAACCCCGAGGGTATAATTTCTCTGTCAACCCTTATGGTATGATTTCTCTGTCAACCCCGAGGGTATGATTTCTCTGTCAACCCCGAGGTATGATTTCTCTGTCAACCTCGAGGGTATGATTTCTCTGTCAACCCTTAGGGTATGATTTCTCTGTCAACCCTTAGGGTATGATTTCTCTGTCAACCCCGAGGGTATGATTTCTCTGTCAACCCCTAAGGTATGATTTCTCTGTCAACCCCGAGGGTATGATTTCTCTGTCAACCCTGAGGGTATGATTTCTCTGTCAACCCCTAGGGTATGATTTCTCTGTCAACCCCGAGGATATGATTTCTCTGTCAACCCCGAGGGTATGATTTCTCTGTCAACCCCTAAGGTATGATTTCTCTGTCAACCCCTAGGGTATGATTTCTCTGTCAACCCCGAGGATATGATTTCTCTGTCAACCTCGAGGGTATGATTTCTCTGTAAACCCCTAAGGTATGATTTCTCTGTCAACCCCTAGGGTATGATTTCTCTATCAACCCCTAAGGTATGATTTCTCTGTCAACCCCGAGGGTATGATTTCTCTGTCAACCCCTAAGGTATGATTTCTCTGTCAACCCCGAGGGTATGATTTCTCTGTCAACCCTGAGGGTATGATTTCTCTGTCAACCCCTAGGGTATGATTTCTCTGTCAACCCCGAGGATATGATTTCTCTGTCAACCCCGAGGGTATGATTTCTCTGTCAACCCCTAAGGTATGATTTCTCTGTCAACCCCTAGGGTATGATTTCTCTGTCAACCCCGAGGATATGATTTCTCTGTCAACCTCGAGGGTATGATTTCTCTGTAAACCCCTATGGTATGATTTCTCTGTCAACCCCTAGGGTATGATTTCTCTATCAACCCCTAAGGTATGATTTCTCTGTCAACCCTTCGGGTATGATTTCTCTGTCAACCCCGGGGGTATGATTTATCTGTCAACCCTTAGGGTATGATTTCTCTGTCAACCCCTTGGGTATGATTTCTCTGTCAACCCCGAGGGTATGATTTCTCTGTCAACCCCTAGGGTATGATTTCTCTGTCAACCCCGAGGGTATGATTTCTCTGTCAACCCCGAGGTATGATTTCTCTGTCAACCCCTAGGGTATGATTTCTCTGTCAACCCTTAGGGTATGATTTCTCTGTCAACCCCGAGGGTATGATTTCTCTGTCAACCTCGAGGATATGATTTCTCTGTCAACCTCCAGGGTCAACCCCGAGGGTATGATTTCTCTGTCAACCCCTAGGGTATGACAGATAGTGTGTGCACCGGAAGTGAACCGGAACTACTTCTACACAAGTCATCTGCTACATGTATGTAAACAAATACATATGTACGAATTTACCAATAGCTCAAAACCATGTTTGAAATAGGAGACACTGTTAGCAAAGGATCTGAAGGTAGGAAGGGCAAGATTATTGACAGCTTTCACCCTATAGGAACTTATATGATGTATAAAGTCCACATGACTGACACTGGCTAAATAGCAAAGCCTGAACTTGTGAAGGGAATGCTCGATGAGGAGTTCAAATTTTAGAAAAAGTGTGATGGGAGTAAAATAATCATCCCCTACCTTGAGGGTGTAACAGAGAAATCTCCAACCCTCGGGGTGATATCCTTGGTTGTCTAACCATAGCCTCGGGTTAGACAACCAAGAATATCAACCCTCAGGTTGGAGATTTCTCTGTCACACCCTCAAGGTAGGGGAAGATTATATTAATCCCCTGGAAGACTAGTTATATTCTCTCAAGGACTGGGAATATCCTACTAGGAAGGTCTATCACGTGGAATACCAGGAAAGATCTTTTGTGACTTCTTTATATACCAAGAGGATTGGGAGGATCTTTTATCAACAAGAATTTCCTTGAAGAATGAACTATCCTTAAGTGGACTTACCAACAAGACCCGTTCTCCTTGTAGAATGAACTACCCTAAAGTGGACTTACCAACAGGACTCGTTCTCCTTGTAGAATGAACTACCTTAAAGTGGACTTACCAACAAGACTCGTTCTCCTTGTAGAATGAACTACCCTAGAGTGGACTTACCAACAAGACCCGTTCTCCTTGTAGAATGAACTACCCTAGAGTGGACTTACCAACAGGACTCGTTCTCCTTGTAAAATGAACTACCCTAGAGTGGACTTACCAACGAGACTCGTTCTCCTTGTAGAATGAACTACCCTAGAGTGGACTTACCAACAAGACCCGTTCTCCTTGTAGAATGAACTACCCTAGAGTGGACTTACCAACAGGACTCGTTCTCCTTGTAGAATGAACTACCCTAGAGTGGACTTACCAACGAGACTCGTTTTCCTTGTAAAATGAACCTCTAAGTCCACAAAGTAATGCAGAAGTCTCGGATGCAAAGCTGACAAAGTAATGACTAAAGCGGAAAGACTGGGCATCTCGGTAAGCTAGTATCCACCTGAAATGATATCAGCAGCTACAGAAATCCTTAGTGAAACAATTTCATTCTCAGGACAGAAGGACATGCTTAATCATCAAATGTCAATACATGAAAGAACTCTTTATTCACAAATCACCATGGTAACCATAATCTTTGTTAATAAAAAATACACAAGCTTTATATATGTTCTGCTTTCTGTAATATTGAAATATTTACCTAACATACAGAGTAGATAAATCAGTTGACAGACTTATGTGTTGTCTGTAACTTACTTGTAAATAGAACTAGTGACAAGCCAGTTTGTGAGGAGACAAGTGGAGTAGATAAATCAGTGTACAGACAGACTGGTGTGTTTTATGTAACTTACTTGTAACTAGAACTAGGGACAAGCCAGTTTGTGAGGAGACAGGTGGAGTAGACCATGCATGCCAAGCTCACAGCAGCACTTTTTGCAACACAAAACAGCCACCCCATATTCTGTAATGATAAATCATACCTTGCTGGAATGATCCTACAGTAAACATCATAAAACAATTTTATCAAATAAAACACAAATTCTTTAATGATAGATCAAAGCTTTCACACTAACACAAAGTTGTATGGAATATTTAAAACATAAAGACTTATTGCCAAAGTCCAAGGTAAGATATTTATGTGTTTAAACTGTTGCTAATCTAGACAGCGTGAAATAACATCCAAATCCGACTTTTCATGTCCCAGCACAGATTTCAGTAAGAATGGTATTCCTTCAGTTACCAGAGATAACTATTTGACAGATTTGATTTATTTGTAACAATGCCACCCACCATAGATTTATGATCTTGAGACAGCATGTTTTTGTAATCTTGGAAGCTGATCCAGGGACCAAATATTACAGTGCCAACACACAACACATAGCCAAGGTACTCTGACATGGACGGCATCTGTTCTGCTCCGCTCGCAACATCAAAGGCTAAACCGATAACTTTCATGGCCATGATTATCTGAGCACCTGGTGAGGATAAAACAGGAGGAGGTTTTAGAGTTATAAAGCTTTATGGTAATTATTTAGAAACATTGTGTCTAATTCTAAATTCATTTCTTTTGAATCAATCATACTAGGTGCTGACTTTGGGCTCATAAATCTATTAGTAAGTAGACCTGTACTGCCCAGTTATTGGGCTTTTTCAGATCAACTTTCTAAACACAACTATCAACACATAACCAGTTTCAAGAAGTAAGGAACTTTCCATGCTGATTCATTACTGGACTATAATATTAATACTTTTATGTTTAATCGTAAAAACAGTACAGAGGCTAGAGTTATGTCCCTTTACAGTAGGGTGACACAATGAAACAGTTAGACAATTTCATTTTGTGTATTTTAGGTTCTAAAGAATGCTAATAAAGAGAGTGAAACTTGTCACCTTACTAAAAAACTTATGACTCAGCGTTTGTTGCAACACTTCAGTTCCTATGAATTGCCCTGCATTACCTTGACAAGAAAATGGGTCCAAAAACTTAATTTGTGTATAAAAAGGTGCTAATCACTGGTGTGTCTTTTGTACAATCTACCTTTCACAATGACTTTGATTTTAGATTTAAAGAGTGTTCAATACTCTACTCACCAGGTGAGACATACAGTGGGCCAATAACTCACCACATACAAATGTCACCAGGTGAGACATACCGTGAGTCAATAAATCACCACATACAAGTGTCACCAGGTGAGACATACAGTGAGTCAATAAATCACCACATACAAGTGTCACCAGGTGAGACATACAGTGAGTCAATAAATCACCACATAGAAATGTCACAAGGTGAGACATACAGTGAGTCAATACATCACCACATACAAATGTCACCAGGTGAGACATACAGTGAGTCAATAAATCACCACATACAAGTGTCACCAGGTGAGACATACAGTGAGTCAATAAATCACCACATACAAGTGTCACCAGGTGAGACATACAGTGAGTCAATAAATCACCACATACAAATGTCACCAGGTGAGAAATACATTGAGTCAATAAATCACCACATACAAGTGCCACCAGGTGAGACATACAGTGAGTCAATAAATCACCACATACAAACGTCACCAGGTGAGAAATACATTGAGTCAATAACTCACCACATACAAGTGTCACCAGGTGAGACATACAGTGAGTCAATAAATCACCACATACAAATGTCACCAGGTGAGAAATACATTGAGTCAATAAATCACCACATACAAGTGTCACCAGGTGAGACATACAGTGAGTCAATAACTCACCACATACAAGTGTCACCAGGTGAGACATACAGTGAGTCAATAACTCACCACATACAAGTGTCACCAGGTGAGACATACAGTGAGTCAATAAATCACCACATACAAATGTCACCAGGTGAGAAATACATTGAGTCAATAACTCACCACATACAAGTGTCACCAGGTGAGACATCCAGTGAGTCAATAAATCACCACATACAAGTGTCACCAGGTAAGACATACAGTGAGTCAATAAATCACCACATACAAGTGTCACCAGGTAAGACATACAGTGAGTCAATAAATCACCACATACAAGTGTCACCAGGTGAGACATACAGTGAGTCAATAAATCACCACATACAAGTGTCACCAGGTGAGACATACAGTGAGTCAATAAATCACCACATACAAGTGTCACCAGGTGAGACATACAGTGAGTCAATAACTCACCACATACAAGTGTCACCAGGTGAGACATACAGTGAGTCAATAACTCACCACATACAAGTGTCACCAGGTGAGACATACAGTGAGTCAATAAATCACCACATACAAATGTCACCAGGTGAGACATCCAGTGAGTCAATAAATCACCACATACAAGTGTCACCAGGTAAGACATACAGTGAGTCAATAAATCACCACATACAAGTGTCACCAGGTAAGACATACAGTGAGTCAATAAATCACCACATACAAGTGTCACCAGGTGAGACATACAGTGAGCCAATAAATCACCACATACAAGTGTCACCAGGTGAGACATACAGTGAGTCAATAAATCACCACATACAAGTGTCACCAGGTGAGACATACAGTGAGTCAATAAATCACCACATACAAGTGTCACCAGGTGAGACATACAGTGAGTCAATAAATCACCACATACAAGTGTCACCAGGTGAGACATACAGTGGGCCAATAAATCACTACATACAAATGTTTTAAACCATAAAAACAAAGATTTCCCTACCTCGAACTTTATGCCATGTTGTCTCCTCCACTAGGTAGAGCTCACTGAAACAAATCAAAGTCAACTTTCCTTCACACCATCTAAATTAATATGTTCTCATTGACAACTTCTAGTGTGACAGCTAGCTAATTACCAAAAAGAGAATGCACTTAATTTGTGAATTTTCAAATCTTTCATCTGCTGTTGTGGCCTATGTAAATTCAGCCTTCAGCAGTGAGTATTTATAGATATATAAGTATGATTTTTCAGTACAAATATTAAAAATTTAATCTATTACATATTTTTCCCCCTTTGGAATTCTAAAATTGTTTGAGATAATATAAAAGAAAGAAGCATTGCTATCCAAAATGAACCTGAATAGTATTTAACAACAACCAAGTTTTCACACCATAAATGTCAAAATACATGTACAAATGCCACATCCAGTTACATAAACTTTTCTGTTGTTTTTGAAAAACAATACAATTATATAAATGTATTTACAGCTGTGAATTGTCTTAATATCAATTATAATTAAAAGAGTATAACTCCAAACAAAAGCAAAAACAAACAAAAAATCAAATGATGATAAACATTTCAAGTATCACAAAAGAAAAGTCGAGTTTTCCAAGTAAGGTAATATGAAACAAAATCAATTTCAAATATGGAGAGAAAGCTACTTAAAGGAATTCCTAAGCAGTGCATGAGATTGATTTGAGTCTATTTGCCTGATGTTGGGATAGAACATCCTTTGTCACACAGGACTGAGATGTATGAAGACACTTGTCTATTACAATCATTAAATTATGATGGAGCACGTTTAGTTGGATGGAATGTAAACATACCACACTATAATATACACAACAACAATGGTAGAGACAGCAATTCCACAGTACTGTCGATGTAGGACATGGACGGCAAGCAATGTAAGGTAGATCAGACAACAGCAGTACAACACATACACCAAGTCACGCGAAAATACCAGGTGCAGAGCCAATACCCCAAAAAGGGCACTTGTCAAGTGTAGGAATGAGCGGGGAATTCCAGTGTCTCCACCATCTACAAAAATAAAACAGAAAAATTGTGATCATATCACTGATGATCCTTATTATATCAAGGTTAATGAATTGTATCTAGGTGTATGTATTGTATCTAGGTGTATGTATTGTATCTAGGTTTATGTATTGTATCTAGGTGTATGTATTGTATCTAGGTGTATGTATTGTATCTAGGTGTATGTATTGTATCTAGGTTTATGTATTGTATCTAGGTGTATGTATTGTACCTAGGTGTATCTAAGTGTGTCTAGGTGTATGTATTGTATCTAGGTGTATCTATTGTATCTAGGTGTATCTAGGTGTATATATTGTATCTATGTGTATGTATTGTATCTAGGTGTATGTATTGTATCTAGGTGTATATATTGTATCTATGTGTATGTATTGTATCTAGGTGTATGTTTTGTATCTAGGTGTATCTAGGTTTATGTATTGTATCTAGGTGTTTCTATTGTATCTAGGTGTATCTAGGTGTATATATTGTATCTAGGTGTCAGTATTGTATCTAGGTGTATGTATTGTATCTAGGGGTATCTATGTGTATGTATTGTATCTAGGTGTATGTTTTGTATCTAGGTGTATCTAGGTTTATGTATTGTATCTAGGTGTATGTATTGTATCTAGCTGTATGTATTGTATCTAGCTGTAGGTATTGTATCTAGGTGTATCTAGGTGTATATATTGTATCTATGTGTATGTATTGCATCTAGGTGTATGTTTTGTATCTAGGTGTATCTAGGTTTATGTATTGTATCTAGGTGTATGTATTGTATCTAGGTGTATCTAGGTCTATGTATTGTATCTAGGTGTATGTATTGTATCTAGCTGTAGGTATTGTATCTAGGTGTATCTATGTGTATATATTGTATCTAGGTATATGTGTTGTATCTAGGTGTATGTATTGTATCTAGCTGTATTTTTTGTACCTAGGTGTATCTAGGTGTATGTATTGTATCTAGGTGCATCTAGGTGTATGTATTGTATCTAGGTGTATGTATTGTATCTAGGTGTATGTATTGTATCTATGTGTATGTATTGTATCTATGTGTATCTATGTGTATGTATTGTATCTATGTGTATGTATTGTTTCCAGGTGTATGTATTGTATCTAGGTGTATATATTGTATCTATGTGTATGTATTGTATCTAGGTGTATCTAGGTTATGTATTGTATCTAGGTGTATATATTGTGTCTATGTGTATGTATTGTATCTAGTTGTATCTAGGTTTATGTATTGTATCTAGGTGTATCTAGGTTTATGTATTGTATCAAGGTGTATGTATTGTATCTAGGTGTATGTATTGTATCTAGGTGTATCTAGGTGTTGTCTAGGTGTATGTATTGTATCTAGGTGTATGTGTTGTATCTAGGTGTATGTAGGTGTATGTATTGTATCTAGGTGTATGTATTGTATCTAGGTGTATGTATTTTATCTAGGTGTATGTATTGTATCTAGGCAACAGTTACCTGGTACAGATACTTTAAAGCACATTTCAGTCTTTCACACTTATATATACATATATTTGAATTCTAAAGAATCCTGTTTGCAGAGTACAAATATAATGTTAAATATGGATAACAGTTGTAAATATGACTCTATAAAGACTGATTACAGAGATCACAGAGATACCCCTAGTAGCTACCATACAAATCATATTGAGATTAAAATGTTTTTTCCCCTTTGAAGGGCCTTCAGTTTCCATCAGCCAAAGGGATTATCAAGACACTACCAATCTCATTATAGTTTTGTCTTTGCTTTATGTTCAATGTATGTGATACAAACTTTTGTAATGTTTTTTATCGTGATAAAGGGACAGCTTTCCTCACAAATTTGACAATTCAGTGTTGTCTATGTATGTGATGTAACTTTTGTAATGTTTTTTATCGTGATAAAGGGACAGCTTTCCTCACAAATTTGACAATTCAGTGTTGTCTATGTATGTGATGTAACTTTTGTAATGTTTTTTATCGTGATAAAGGGACAGCTTTCCTCACAAATTTGACAATTCAGTGTTGTCTATGTATGTGATGTAACTTTTGTAATGGTTTTTATCATGATAAAGGGACATATTTCCCCACAAATTTGACAATTCACTTGTCGTCTATGTATGTGATATAACTTTTGTAATGTTTTTATCATAATAAAGGGACAGATTTCCTCACAAATTTGACAATTCACTTGTCTGTACTGTCTTTACTTCGTCATTACTCATACATCTATTCCAGTAATATGCATCCAAAGAACATTTGTTAGGATCCAGTACCAGTATTGGACCACACCATCGGTATTACTAGATTCTATATAAACTCATATACATGTATGTCAATATGCTTGCTTAAAATTTGAAATGACAAGAGAAATGACAGGAAGTAAAAAAAACATACTAAAATTGCTGAATATCATTCATTAACAATGCAATCAGTCAGATCATTATGCTATACCTGGCTTCCACAGATTTGATACAAGTTTGAATAAAAAGGATAAGGCCAACAGGGGAAGCAGGACCTTTAAGGCCCCTGTCAGCACTGGAAGCATACAGCTTTCTCCGAGCTCCAAAAGCGATAGACTGGCCACCTCTTCATACTCTTGATCGTAGTCTTTCTGGTATGAGGCGAGAAAAGCCTCCAGCTCTGGGTCCATGGTCTCTCCATTGAGATAGGCTTGTATAAGCTCCTCATCAATTTCATCATAATAAGTATTGAAATCATCCATACTGTACATGTATTAAGTGTCACTTATTGACCTGGAAAAAAAAATGTAAAGGAAAAAAATCAACAGATATACAATAGAATGATAACTTACTAATTCTTATATTCAAATGTCACCCTTAGCTATCCACAATAAACAATCATCATCAAATAGGTATTATTATAATCATTGGCGAAAGACCATGAGACTCAGCTCCTGTTGTTTGTGTCAGCTATAAGACTGCGGTGGGTTTCTGACAATACTTATAGTCTGTATCTGTCTATTGTGGCGATATTGACCGCTGCATGTACATGAACTCTACAGCTAATTAATATAGACGATATTGGAAGGGTTATTCCATCATAAAGTAGACCACGTCAGACACAAACAGTAAAGAAATACATCAACACATTGTTGTCCTCTTTAATATGCGCTCATGCAACACAGTTGTTGGAACAAAGTTCTCAGAAAGCTTGGATATAACACATTAAAAAAGTTGTCTCCCATATATTACTACTTTGAACGCCATCACAGTTCTAGATCTAATGCTTCAGTCTTTTTTTATCTTTTAAACATATTTGTAACTAATTCTTGAATTTGCTAGAATGCACTTTAAGTCCAACACATTCTTTCATTACAAAGGATTAAGATCCTGTGAACTCAGACAACATGGTTTACGGGTAAGTCATAATGTGCTTTTTGAAAATAAACATATCAAATGGAATATTTATAGGTAGAGTGAACCTATTTTTAGAATGCATAAACCTGTTTTTTTTCTGACAATGGGTTTTATTGTCCGTTTTCATTAAAAGGACTGAATGGTGGTTTGGTTTATCAATTTGTATGAAAAGTAAACAGCACATTTTTGTTCAAATTTCGTTTATCAGATAAATATCTCAACTTGTGAATAAGAATGGGTAACACACCCAATGCCAAAACTGTTGAATAATTAACAGGTTTTCCGTCTCTGTGACTCCTCCCATGTCCATGTATCATCTCATCGACGAGCGTGTGTTCTGGCACCGTGCCAAGACTGTTCACATTCTATGTTTTACTACGGGTATAGATATAACTCATTCTAATTATATGTATGATGTGTCTATATTATATGTACAGATATAAATACCCCACTTTTATCATTTTACTTACAGTAATAAACCTGCCCATTCCACACAAGATATTTTCTTTATATTTACATGTATACCCCATATTATTTTACTTGTAATAAACCAAAACAAGACTTGCATGTACTAACGGCTGAAATTTTATTAATTTCTCACAAACATTATAAAATAATTCTACATCAACAGGTATATCACAAACAATGCAGGGAATAAATTCAATAATGATTCCATTAATGACTTAAAAAAAGAAATACAGTTTTTATTTCATATTTATTTTTACAACATTTGTAATCAAACAAAAAGCAAAACAGGGAAAAAATGCAAATATATGACATATGTGCAACCCTTTGTACTTCAGTGTATTGGAAGTAACTACTAAATTTTAATTACTAAAATTACTATATCAAATATATATCTAACATCTATCAAAGCTTACAAGGTACAAGAAATTTTATTCCTTGTCATATACAATAAATCATGTAACATTAGCTCAGAAGACAAACATATAAAAAATATAACACAAAGAACAAAATCACAGATGGAAATAAAATTTAACAAAACATGAATAATGAAATAGGCACAACAATAATAACAACATAATAGTTATCACAGTGACTTAATAGTACATAATACAACTAGAATTTTTTTTAAAAGAATAAATTTTAAAAAATGTAAAGCGTAATGAAATTACAAAACTAAATTATGCTCACAGAACTTATTCATTTAAAGACTGATTTTTGGCAAAAATCAGGAAATAATAAAGAACTTATTTTGGTAGTAAAAAGAATAAGTATAAAGCAAGAGAGATACAATGGCAAAAACATCCCGATAAACAACAATATTACTGAAGGTGAAAGAACAGGTGGTTGGGCCAGTCCCTACCAGCCAAATTCTTTGACCAGACTAAAATAAAAGCAAATGTAATGTATAACAACTAAAACAAATCAGTCAATTCATCTTTGCACAGATAGAGCAAGTACAAATGGGGCCATCCCAAGTGTTGATCAGTCTCCGGAATTATGGAAAGTATTCACACCTGCACAATTCGTTGGGCAGTCTCATAAGACAAAGATTTCTGTCCATGTCTTGGAAGATTTTACACATGGAATGCTGACTGTGTATTCTCTCCTGAAATCATAAGCAGATCTTTTTATTTATTTTTTTTTTACAAAATCTTGTATATATTAAGGGAATAGCATGTGTAGTATTTTAACTTTCAGTCTCTCGGGCATATAGAAGAGTACTAATTGTAGTTTAATATGTTTTATCAAATATGTATCTAACATCTATCAAAAATTACTTTATCAAATAAATATCTAATATCTATCAAAATTAAAGTATTTTGTCAAATTTACAACATTTATGAAAATTTTTAATTAATATCAAATAAATATGTCCGATGCGTATCAAACTTCAGCTTACCAGTGTTGCACGTCTGATGGTTCCATCTGTAACAGGTATTGCAGGCAACAGCATGCTGTTTCCCGTGGATGATTTCCCCACATGTTGCACCCGACACGGTTGAATATTAAAAATGTTGCTTTCTGGAGTAACCATCACTTATACCTCTGTTTAAACGTATTTAAAACACCAAAACTCTTAGTTCCACAAGCCTTTCATCTTTTTTTGGTGTGAAAACAACCGATCAGATGTTGCATGTGCTGCAGGCAGTGTGCTTGTGCCATATGTCAACAGCGTTAAAGGTAATATTTCTTCATCAAAACAATGGTATAAGAAAAAATAACATGGTTTTTGCACTTTCAATAAAAGTCAGCAAAAAAAAAAAAAAAAAAACCAGGTGCCTCCCGAGAAAAGGTGGCTTCCCATCAACCTTTACAAACACCATTTGATTCTTCAAAGGTAATACCGACCAAGGCAGTAAATAGGTAAACCTGTACATTTCAAAAATCTAAAATTATATCAAGTCACAAAAACATTCTTTTAATTTATGCTTTTCATAGATCAATTTGGGACAAATATGTATTTTTTTTCTATTCAATTGATACCAGTATTTTGGGGGCGAAACGTCATTTCTGAATTTTACAATTTGGTGCAAACCATCTGATGTGGGTGCGAAACAACTTCGGGGCCAAACGTCTGCTATTCTAAGAAAGTACCATTTTGTCCGGCTACTTCCAAAAAGAAATTTGAGACCTAAATGTACAACAATATGTCTGAATTCAGAGGGAAATAATTCGCTGTAATGACAGGATGTGTTGGACTTCCAATGCATCATCATAAATCCAAGGGTGTTCGAATTTCCCAACCTGTTACCATAGTTAACTGGCTGAAGTCTGCAATAGCATGGAGTGCCAAACGCCAGCTGTGGTTAATAATATGTTGTATGCAAGTCGGTCGACAGATTAAATACTCACATTATTTAAATGCGCCAATAAGCATTGATAACAAACAAATAAGTCTGATTGTCATCACATAAATATCAAAACATTTCGCCGCTAAACCAACGTGCGACACGACACCGGAATAACTGCACTGGTTCTAAGTACCGGAAACGAAAAGCGGGACCGAAATTCCCGACCAGGAGCAAGTTCGGAGCGTAATCATACAAGTCGAGCAGCTTTGTTTATCGAGGAGAGCCTTAAGTTTAAATCGATTTAATAAATATTGCACCCATTAATAGCCACAGTGAATGTTATCAGAACATTATCCTGACCGAGATATATACGTGATTAAATTTCTGTTTACTCAAAAACCGCTACTATGAGAGTAGACGAGGGAAGGAGTGAGAAAGAGATGGAGCCGATTGTTGTTACTATGCAGGGTTTGAATTAGGATTCTGTTGAAATGTCTTGTTCTAAATTTTCTTACTGAGCATAACACAGCCATTGGTGTTCTGAATAGGTTTCAGTAAGACATACCGTGACACGCCCCAGGTTTCAATAAGTTGCAGTAAGTCATACCGTGACACGCCCCAGATGTTCAAATAAGTTTTATTAAGTCATACCATGACAAGCCCCAGGTTTCAATAAGTTTCTTTAAGTCATACCGCGACACGCCCCAGGTGTTCCAATAAGTTACAGTAAGTCTCAATGGAACATTACCTAGCTCTATGTGTTCATTCGGAGACCTCTCCTTCACCGTGATGTTCTCAATACTGCATGTTGCACTGCTTCAGAATAGGACACCACATCGCGCACCGTGATGTTCTCAATACTGCATGTTGCACTGCTTCAGAATAGGACACCACACCGGACACCGCGATGTACTCAATACTGCATGCCGCACTGCTTCAGAATAGGTCAACACACTGGACACCGTGATGTTCTCATGCCGCACTGCTTCAGAATATGACACCACATCGGGTACCGTGATGTTCTCAATACTGCATGGTGCACTGCTTCAGACACCACACTGGATACCGCGATGTTCTCAATATTGCATGTTGCACTGCTACAGAATAGGACACCACACTGTACACCGTGATGTTCTCAATACTGCATGTAGCACTGCTTCAGAATAGGACAACACACCGGACATCGCGATGTTCTCAATACTGCATGTTGCACTGCTTCAGAATAGGACACCACACTGTACACCTTGATGTTCTCAATACTGTATGTAGCACTGCTTCAGAATAGGACACCACACTGTACACCGTGATGTACTCAATACTGCATGTTGCACTGCTTCTGAATAGGACACTACACCGGACATCGCGATGTTCCCGATACTGCATGCCGCACTGCTTCAGAATGGGACACCACACCGGACACCGCGATGTTCTCAATACTGCATGTAGCACTGCTTCAGACACCACACTGGATACCGCGATGTTCTCAATACTGCATGTTGCACTGCTACAGAATAGGACACCACACTGAACACCGTGATATTCTCAATACTGCATGTAGCACTGCTTCAGAATAGGACACCACACTATACACCGTGATGTTCTCAATACTGCATGTTGCACTGCTTCAGAATATGACACCACATCGGGTACCGTGATGTTCTCAACACTACATGTTGCACTGCTTCTGAATAGGACACCACACTGGACACCGCGATGTTCTCAATACTGCATGCCGCACTGCTACAGAATAGGACACCACACTGTACACCGTGATGTTCTCAATACTGCATGTTGCACTGCTTCAGACACCACACTGGATACCGCGATGTTCTCAATACTGCATGTCGCACTGCTTCAGAATAGGACAACACACCGGACACCGCGATGTTCTCAATACTGCATGCCGCACTGCTTCAGACACCACACTGGATACCGCGATGTTCTCAATACTGCATGTTGCACTGCTTCAGAATAGGACACCACACCGGACACCGCGATGTTCTCAATACTGCATGCCGCACTGCTTCAGAATAGGACATCACACCGGACACCGCGATGTTCTCAATACTGCATGTTGTACTGCTTCAGAATAGGACACCACACCGGACACCGCGATGTTCTCAATACTGCATGCCGGTCTGCTTCAGAATAGGACACCACACCGGACACCGCGATGTTCTCAATACTGCATGTCGGTCTGCTTCAGAATAGGACACCACACCGGACAACGCGATGTTCTCAATACTGCATGCCGGTCTGCTTCAGAATAGGACACCACACCGGACACCGCGATGTTCTCAATACTGCATGCCGGTCTGCTTCAGAATAGGACACCACACCGGACACCGCGATGTTCTCAATACTGCATGCCGGTCTGCTTCAGAATAGGACACCACACCGGACACCGCGATGTTCTCAATACTGCATGCCGGTCTGCTTCAGAATAGGACACCACACCGGACACCGCGATGTTCTCAATACTGCATGTCGCACCGACCAATACCTATAAATGATTGATAATCGAAATCCTACATTTTTTACATGTAAATCTACAGTGCTCCTTGTGTTGAATTCCTTATTTTTACAAACAGTAAACTTGTTCTTGTTCATTTACCATGGTAAATTTTAGTTGTACCTAATGCGACAAACATAGTTACATTTTTTGTGTTACTGCTGAAAATGCTGGTGTGCAGTACATCAGTTACGTTTTTGTCTCTTACTACGTGTACGGTAGTTTGCATGCATTCCTAGTCAATATTTACACTCGGTTATTTTTGTCTCTGTGGATGTACATATATTGTACATGCACGTGCAAGTACATATATTAGTATCACGTTCGGTACTTTACATATATTGAACGTGTACGCGTACATATTTCAGCATGCATGTGGCGTGGTAAAGCCATTGTCGTGAGCATGCTTGAGGCGTGGTAAAGCCATTGTCGCGAGCTACTTGAGGCGTGATACAGGCATTTTCGCATACATGCATGTGGCGTCGCACAGGCTTTGTTGCGAGCTTGCATGTGGCGTGGTGAAAGCATTGTCGCGATCAAGCATGTGGCGTGGCACAGGCGTTGTCGCGAGCATGCATGTGGCGTGGTGCAGGCTTGGTCACGAGCATGCATGTGGTGTCGTACAGGCATTGTTGCTAGCATGCATGTTGCGTCGTGCAGGCGTTGTCGCGAGCTTACAAGTGGCGTCGTACAGGCATTGTTGCTAGCATGCATGTGGCGTCGTATAGGCATTGTCGCGAGCATACATGTGGTGTAGTACATTCATTGTCGCGAGCATACATGTGGCGTGGCCAGGTATTGTCGCGAGCATGCATGTGGCGTCGCACAGGCTTTGTCGCGAGCATACATGTGGTGTAGTACATTCATTGTCGCGAGCATGCATGTGGCGTGGCCAGGTATTGTCGCGAGCATGCATGTGGCGTCGCACAGGCGTTGTCGCGAGCATGCATGTGGCGTCGCACAGGCTTTGTCGCGAGCATGCATGTGGCGTCGTAAGGCATTGTCGCGAACTTGAATGTGGCGTGGTAAAAGCATTGTTGCGATCAAGCATGTGACGTGGCACAGGCGTTGTCGCGAGCATGCATGTGGCGTGGTGCAGGCTTGGTCACGAGCATGCATGTGGCGTCGTACAGGCATTGTTGCTAGCATGCATGTTGCGTCGTGCAGGCAGTGTCGCGAGCTTACAAGTGGCGTCGTGCAGGCATTGTTGCTAGCATGCATGTTGCGTCGTGCAGGCGTTGTCGCGAGCTTACAAGTGGCGTCGTACAAGCATTGTTGCTAGCATGCATGTGGCGTCGTATAGGCATTGTCGCGAGCATACATGTGGTGTCGTGCATGCATTGTCGCGAGCATGCATGTGGCGTGGTGCTTGCATTGTCGCGATCATGCATGTGGCGTCGCACAGACATTGTCGCGAGCATGCATGTGGCGTGGTGCAGGCTTAGTCGCAAGCATGCATGTGGCGTGTTGCACACTTTGTCGCAAGCATGCATGTGGTGTCGTGCATGCACTGTCGCGAGCATGCATATGGCGTGGTGCATGCATTGTCGCGATCATGCATGTGGCGTCGCACAGACATTGTCGCGAGCATGCATGTGGCGTGGTGCAGTCTTCGTCGCAAGCATGCATGTGGCGTGGTGCATACTTTGTCGCAAGCATGCATGTGGTGTCGTGCATGCATTGTCACGAGCATGCATGTGGCGTCGTGCAGGCAACTCTCGCGAGAATGCATGTGGCGTCGAACAGGCTTTGTCGCGAGCATGCATGTGGCGTCGTGCAGGCTTTGTCGCGAGCTTACAAGTGGCGTCGTACAGGCATTGTTGCTAGCATGCATGTTGCGTCGTGCCGGCATTGTTGTGAGCTTGCATGTGACACCGTGCATGCATTGTCACGAACATACATATGGCGTGATGCAGGATGACATGCACGTAGTGTAAAAAAAGGAATGGGATAGAGACGGTGTTTTAGATAGTGAGAAAAATGGAGTCGACTGATCTGGTGTTGTAGATAGTGGGAGAGAAGGAGGATGGGTAGACACGAAGTCGACTGTTCTGGTGTTGTATATAGTGGGAGAGAAGGAGGATGAGTTGACACGGAGTCGACTGTTCTGATGTTATAGATAGTGGGAGAGAAGGAGGATGGGTAGACACGAAGTCGACTGTTCTGGTGTTGTAGATAGTGGGAAAGAAGGAGGATGGGTAGAAACGGAGTCGTCTGTTCCTGGTGTTGTAGATAGTGGGAGAGAAGGAGGATGGGTAGACACGGCGTCGACTGTTCTGGTGTTGTAGATAGTGGGAGAGAAGGAGGATGGGTAGACACGGAGTCGTCTGTTCCTGGTGTTGTAGATAGTGGGAGAGAAGGAGGATGGGTAGAGATGGAGTCGACAATTCTGATGTTGTAGATAGTGGGAGAGAAGGTGGATGGGTAGACACGAAGTCGACTATTCCTGGTGTTGTAGATAGTAGGAGAGAAGGAGGATGGGTAGACACGGAGTCGTCTGTTCCTGGTGTTGTAAATAGTAGGAGAGAAGGAGGATGGGTAGACACGAAGTCGACTGTTCTGGTGTTGTAGATAGTGGGAAAGAAGGAGGATGGGTAGAAACGGAGTCGTCTGTT